CTACATTAGATTTGGAATAGAACAACCAGCTTGTCTATATCCTTGGGCTACAAAAACTGAATACTATCTGTAATAACATTGCTAGACAGTCATTCTGGCTGCATCAATCTTTGACTTCATAAACGTTTTATCCAAGTTGGCATGGATGCAAAAAAAATTATCTATAAAATACGGTGCTAATTGCTCACAGTATGTTCTAAGACTTCCAGCAATTGTCTCTTTTGGCTTATATCTAAAGTATATTCCTTGTTGCTTAAATACATAAATAGTTTTGCTTTGCATTTCAAAGTAGTATCACAGAAGATAGTTTTCTGCACTGTTAGAGAAAACATTTACTTATTTTTTAATCACAGAGTGACAAGTAATAGAAAACAAAGAAAGGGCTTTGTTATTTGTGGTAGCCCTAACACAAAAACAGAGACTGGAAAACAAATTGGGACTGAAAGCAGATTTCAGAGCATTGGTTATACAACATTAGAAGTAACTCAAAAGTGCCGATACAGTAGATAGCATATTTATACCTGCAAACCACTACATGTGAGCCCTATAAATAGTAAATAGACTACCTCAACACAAACTCTGTTCAGTCCTTGGATCTCTCAGTGGACACTATTGATCTCTATTCAAGCTAAATGAAGCATGTTCTCCTTGCAGTACTACCCACTGCCCGTAGTAATGGGAGAAAAATTCCCCACCCTAGTTTTTTAAAAACTACTTTGAGTTGCAAGATATAAACCTTAGTGTTTTGTTTCTATAAAGCTGAACTTTTGCTACAAAGTTTGCATGGACCTCCAGAGGCACGCAAAAATAAAAGATCAACCTTTTCAGTATTGCGTATATTATTATAGTATCAGAGTTACAAAATGGGATGAGCGGGGAAGAAAGGGTCTTGGAAGATTGGTTCACATGGAAGCCAGTCAGCAAGTCAAAATGCAGACTGGACAGTCTTGTGGTGACCATAGTCTGGACTGAGGTTAAGTAACATCTGGGAGTAGCATGGGAGCCAAGCATTCAAGCTGCCATCCAGAAATGCCATAAGACACTCAACTTTGGTTACAAATTGAAATGAATGGTTTAAGCCTAACTAGGAAATACACCTAAATTATTTATCAAATTAAAGATTAATGAGTCATCCCAGAGCCAGTTTTTGACATGGAAAGACACTTTAAGGTGCCTTTTGATAGTCCGTTTCCCACCAGCTCTGCCTTCTATGCTTCACTATCATAACTGATGTCTCCAAAACAGATGGGTACCATCACAGATGGTAATACTCTCCAGATCCACAAAAGAAAGAAGTCCCTAGAATAGAATAGAATAGAATAGAATAGAATAGAATAGAATAGAATAGAATAGAAGTTGGAAGGGACCTTGGAGGTCTTCTAGTCCAGCCCCCTACTCAAGCAGGAGAACCTATAGTCCTATACCATCTCAGTCAAGTGGCTGTCTAGCCTCTTCTTTAAAATCTCCAGTGATGGAGTGCCCACGATTTCTGGAGGCAAGCTGTTCCACTGTCAGGAAATTTAATTGTCCTCACTGTCAGGAAATTTCTCCTTAATATCAGGTTGCTTCTTTCTATGATCAATTTCCAACTATTGTTTCTTGTTCTGCCTTCTGGTGCTTTGGTGGATAACGTGATCTCCTCTTCTTGGTGGCAGCTCCCCAAATACTGGAATACTGCTATCATGTCTTCCCTATTTCTTCTTTTCTCTAGACTAGTCAATCCCAAGCCCTGCAGCCGTTCTTCATATGTTTTAGTCTCCAGGCCTTTGATCATCTTTGTTGCTCCTCTCTGAATTTTTTCCAAACTCTCAACATCTTTTTTGTGATATGGTGATCAAAATTGGCTGCAGTATTCCAGATGTGGTCTTACTAGGGTTTTATAAAAGTTGGAACTAATACCTCATGTGATCTTGAGTCTATGCCTCTGTTTATACAACCCAGGATTGTATTAGCCTTTTTGGCTGCTGCTACACTCTGCTGGCTCATGATTAAGTGATCGTCCAGTAGAACTCCAAGGTCCTTCTCACAGTTACTGTTTTTAAGCCAGGTGTTGCCCAGTTTGTACTTGTACCTTTGTTTTTTTCCTGCCCAAATGTAAAACTTTGCTTTTCTCCACATTGAAACTCATTTTGTTGGAGAGGGCTCATTGTTCAAGTTTGTCAAGATCTTTTTGGACCCTGAGTTTGTCTTCTGGACTGTTGGCTACTCCTGCCAGTTTGGTGTCATCTGCAAATTTGATGAGTTCCCCTTCAATTCCCTCATCTAAGTCAGTGTTTCCCAAACTTGACAATTTTAAGGCATGTGGACTTCAACTCCCAGAATTCCACAGCCAGCGTTGCTGGTTGTGGAATTCTGGGAGTTGAAGTCCTCATGCCTTAAAATTGTCAAGTTTGGGAAACACTGATCTAAGTCATTGATGAAGATATTGAAGAGTACTGGGCCTAAGACGGAACCTTGTGGTCCCCCACTGCTTACTTCTCTCCATGTGGATGCAGTACCGTTGAGGACTAGCCGTTGAATATGGTTTGCCAGCCAGTTACAGATTCATCTGGTGGTGATGTTGTCTATTCCACCTTTTTCTAGCTTACCAAGGAGTAGGTTGTGGCCTACTTTATCAAATGCCCTACTGAAGTCTAAGTATATTATGTCCAAAGTATTTCACTGGTCTATTAGTTTGTCAAAGAATGAAATAAGATTGGTTTGGCATGATCTGTTTTTAACAAACCCATGCTAGTTACTGTTACAACTTTGTTTGCTTCTAGTTGTTCGCAGATCTGTTTTTTTGATTATCTTTTCTAGGATCTTTCCAGGTATTGATGTTAAACTGATTGGTCTGTAGTTTCCTGGACCTTTTTTTTTTTTTTCCCTTTCTTGAAGATGAGAACCACATCAGCCCTTTTCCAATCCTCAGGTACTTCCCTGGTGCTCCAGGATTTTTGAAAGATGTGGGCAAAGAGGTTCAAGTGGAGCTATTCTTGTTGGGTCTTCCAAAAATAAGAGAACTTCTGAATTAGTTATTTTTGTTGCCAAAATAATTGGGGCTAACTCCTTGGTAGTAATCTGGCAACTTTCTTTAATTAATGGGATTGTTATGAGGAAGCCTCAAGGAAAGAGAAATGGACAGGAGGAGGCTCATATGAGTTAACAATTATTGCCCTATCTGACTTTGACAATGTATGGAAATGTGGAAATTCTGGCAGTAAGACACCATTAATGACCATATTGCTCATGACGGATGATGATAATTGGAAATGAATCATGTGAAGATTTGCCTGCAGACATCTCCTATCCTTCCTTTGCCTTTACTGCACAGGACAACAGTGTTAGAGTTGCTTGAGAGTGAGATGGGCATCAATATAAAACTGAATGATTGAATGATTGATTTATTGATTGATTGAATGAATGAATGAGTCAGTCAGTCAGTCAGTCAAACAAGCAAACAAACAAACAAGCAAACAAACTAACAGTGGATGCCACTACATTGAAGACAGCCTCAAGTAGTCAATCAGAAAAATGCATCAGCAGTGAAGTTGTCAACAAGAGATTCTCATTTCTCTCAGCTCCCAAGGTTTATGATTTGGCTGACCTTTTCTGGTTAAAATTTCAGCTCTTGTGTCAGAATAATGTTGATGAAAAAAAGTGTATAATTTATGTGTCAACAGAGAATCAGTGCATCCAAATGCCTGTGAAAAAACAGGATCAGGGTCTTCAAAAGCAGTGTTCTTAAGGTCTCATTAGGTGCAGCCTGCATAATATACGTTGTTTAGTTCATTAAAGTGTCAACTGAGGAATAACATAGTGTTCCCTTAAATCTCATGAGTAAAGTAAATCTGTTGCTAAGCCTTTCCTTCCAAATTAATTTCTTGTCTCTGCAAAAGCAGCATTCTGCAAAATAAGTGAATTTGATTATATATTATGATTTTCTATATTCTGGGCAGCAAATTTATGTAATTAATTAATTAGAGTCTGGAATTTCTTTGCTTGTTTTGCAAGAGTCCTGAAACTTAGTCAATGAAGGCTGTTTTCCAATTAAATACTATCAATGTACCAGGGACTATAAGTTATGAATCATTTATTCATGGAATGAAGACCTGGACTTAGCTATGAATTCATGGATTTCTTTCCTTCTCTTATAAAATAAACACATATAATTCTATCCATTCCTTTTTATAAGGAATATGGATACTTGGTGAGAACCAAGCCCTTGTTCAGTTTCTACTTCTTATAAAAAGAGGTAGAAACTGAGCAAGGGCTTGGTTCTCACCAAGAACCCCTCAATAGTATAGATGACATCAGGGGTGGGACCTTAATTATGCAAATTCTCTTCTGATCTCATCAAGTCCTCTTTCCAGAAAACTTCAGCTAGTTTCTGTAACATAGTAAAACTGGGCCTCTGTTAGACCCGCCACAATCATAACAGAGAGATGGTTTGGGCTTCATAATTTCCTTTACTTGGACATTGGTGAGATAGATAAAGCAAATTATGAAACTTGCTTTGAATTATACTTCTATATCTTTGATATCCTTGACTTTGTTTGCATAAGGCATGTGGCCTATAGCTCCAAAACTAATAGAAGCATAACTTTGGATAAATTTTCCTTACCTGTAATTTTCTCCTGTAAATTGTAATTGTTTTTACTGATTTGTCCCACTGGTGGACATACATCTTTGGATACATCAGAGAATGTTCCATTAGTGGGAAGGGCAGGAAGGATTTTTCCTCTGTGTGCCCCCAATCTTCTCCAGAAGCTTGAGGTTCCTTCTGACTATCTATTCAAGTGTTGCAAGGATTCAGAAGAATGGAAAAACCACTGCACGCAGAAACATCTACTTCTGTAGCACTGGACAGAATGACTAGCACTTGGAATCTATGTATTGTACAATCATGTAATACTGGAGGAATGCATGGGGTTGATTACATTCTGCTCTGAATTTATCGTAAGAAAATATTTGTACTTTGCAGATTCCAATATTTGCAACAAAAAAGTTTAAATAAAGAGTTGATCTCAATGCTTTATTTTTCACAGGGCTATACATGGCAAACTAATTCATCAAAACATGGATTTTTTTAAAATAGAAAAAAATAGGATCATGGCTGCTATTATTCTTTGGGTTTCCCCTGCTCCATCTTCTTGAACTTCAATCACTATAAATGGGAATGGTGTCCGGTGGTACTGGGTCCTCAGGTGACAGTGCTTTCATCAAAATGACAAAAGCAGTGTTGCATGCAAATTCCTTTCTTTTGTTGTATGTGTACAGTTTTGTGATGCAAACAGAAAAGGAGCAGGAATAATTTTCATTATTTTGACCCCTCCCCTTGCAGTCCCATGAATATTCTTGGCCCAAGGCCTGGTTAGCTAGAAATTGGAAATGTTGCAGACCAGCATGTCTATAGAAATTACCAGGCCAGGGAAAGGTGACTTAAATTGATAAATGGTTGCCATAACCAATGACATCATTTTGCTCCACCCATTGAAGTATTAGCAACTGACTCTGAAGGTTGAAAACTGGATCTGTATTGCAGTAATTCTTCAATTATTCAATTACTATTTTCCTCTTTACTCATTGTCTTCACCAATAGAAATTATTTTCTTCTGGACAGAACCTTCTCTCTTTAGTACCTAAAGAGAAAACTGAATAATGAACAATTTATTATCATTTCATTAGCCCTGAGTTGCCTAAGATGACTGCTTCGTACTGTCTAACATTAGGACCAGCTCTGCTCCTTACTTTTTCATTCCTAGCCCAAATTTCATCCAAGTACTGTAACATTAAGAATGTCCAGAAACTGCTATTAGATTTAAAGGAATTAGTCACATAATAAAAAAGTATTTACCTCAGGCTGTTGGGTTTTGCTTTTCTAGTCTAACTTATTTTTTTTGTCAAATATTTCATTTCAAGCAAGCTTGTTTATATACAGTTACGTACAGCACTGCTGAAGTTAGCTTTACAAAGGGATTTCATGTAGTTAATACCTGAGGATTTAAGCTAAATATTTGCTTTATATATTTTCTGAGAACCAAGTGACAGAAGATCTAGCTACACACTACTTTCAGGAAAGCATAATGTCGATCACAAAATCTTTTGAGCTCCAACTGACTGAGGATTCTATTAAAAAATCTCTTCCAAATGATAGCTGCCAAAATCTATAAACTCGGGGATTTTGTAAATGCCATTTTAAAGTATATTTACTTGTTCATGAATGTTCTTATTCAAAAGACAAATTCCTTTGAGATTTTCCTTTAAAAAGAGCCTGTATGTTTGAGAGGTAGAACATCTATCTGTCTGTCTACCTACCTATTATCTATCTGTCTGTACGCAAGTTTGCATGTGTGTGTGAAAGTGGGATGGGGAGACAGAAATGCCTTTCTCTTTCTCAAAAAATAACTTTTCTCCTGAAAATAATCACCTCTTTTTGGTTCCATCATGAATGTCTGTTTTCCTTTCCTAGTGGACAAAGAAGAAAGAGAAAGCTTGGTAAGAAATATGTCTTGTGGCTGATGCATAATCCCACCTGCTTTAAATCAACTGTTATGTAGCTAGTTTTCCTAGCAAAAAATAATAACAGGTTGACAATCAATATACAGAACATTGGGACTGAAAAGCCCACAATGATTTAACATTTGTTTCTGATCATTAATTCTACAGTGTTGTTAGTTCTGATAGTGGCTGTAGAAAGATCTCAGCCAGTAACTATTTCATTTATCTATCAATTTGTAAAATTAAATAGACCAGTTTGTAAAGTTCCCAGATAATTTACCTGTAGCTATTGTACTTGGACAAATAGCATTCTCCCTCTTTCCCAAATTTTCCCCTCCCAAATGCTTAAACTGTGATTTTTTTTTTCATCCATTGGCACTCATGTTGTGGAAGAAAGATGAATACTGTCAGTCTGGAATCAGGAAAATTTATTCATTCTTCTGCAAAAAGCTGTTCGTTACTCAAAGGAACATTTTAAAATTTCTCTGATATGCTTTGAGCATCACTTATAAACCACTTTCATAGTCCATTATTCAAAATCTAAGCTTTTGACTGCAGGAAAGATTGGGTAAGTATAATACAGGGATTTCCACACAAACCCTAATTTCAAAATTCTGGTAGTTTATAAATTCAGAACATTGTCACATTGCTAAGTTTAATTATTTAAACAACTATCTCTTCATCTGGAAATCACAGTTTTAAGAGACAAGTATTCCTGCATTCTCATTTGTCATAAAAAAAAATTTCCTGACACCAAGCAGGCTAAAATCATATATTCTCTTGTTCCACTGAATTCATTGGAGTTTACTTCAGATATATATTGTACACATTTAAGACTGCCTTCTTTAACTTTCATAACATATAAACTATGGTGAATTTGTGGCATAGGCTTGCCTCTGTGACATTAAACTATCCACTAGTCCCAATTCTGAGCTAAAATAAGGCACTAATAAAAGCTGGAATGACCAAAAAAATTGACTGTCTCCATAGAAACCTATACATGAAAATGAGTACAGCATGTAGCAGTTTCTCTTGCCCTGTCACCATACCTTAAGGAAACAGTGCATTATAAATGAAGAATTGGGGTGGGTGGGTTTTTTTGCCAGAAATATGGTTATTTATAAAGAATTGCTATGCCTTTTGTTTAAACATGAATATGTAAGAACTATTATTTTGAAACAGATGTTTCTTTCTCTGGATTCAAACAAAAATGAAGTCCTGTTTTTTCCTTTGTCTAAATGCATCCTCTCTTGGCAACTTCTCAAGCAGTCTTTACTTACTTGGGGTAAGTATTTCAGGCCTGTGGTAAGACCTACCTTGCACACAGTTCACCTTGAAGCTGAACTGTTGAGTTCTTGGTGTTCTCTGAGCTTGGTTATTTTTTGCAGATATTGCATTACCTAGCTAGGTAACATCATCGGTAACAAAAGAGGAAACAAAAGGAGATACCATAGATATCTATGTTACGAGGGCAATTTGCAAATGAACCTCCATTTGGCTATCAATGACAGATACTCGCAGATACAGAACTTTTATTATACACATTAGAAAACTACAACATTACCACACCAACTTGATAAAATTCTAATAAGTAAGGAAGGAAAACTATTATCAAAAATTTATAAATACCTATTAGAGATAGAGTTAAAGGGAGAAATAGTGAAGGGGCCAATGATAGCGTGGGCATGAAATATGGGGCGAAATATAAATTTAGAGGAATGGGAAAGATTATGGAACATAAATTGCAAATTGGCGCTATCAACTGCATACAGAGAGTATCAATATAAAATGATTTACAGATGGCATTTAACACCGGCAAGATTGGCTAAAATGTATAAAAATATAGACCCGAAGTGTTGGAAATGTAAAATCAGAGAAGGAACATTTTATCACATGTGGTGGCTGTGCCCCAAAGCAAAAAAATTATTGGGAACGAATAAGAGATTGGATACAGGAGATAACGGAGATACAAATGGATTTTAAACCAGAATTATTTCTTTTGGGCATAATAAATTTAAAGATGGAAAAACAATTCCAACATATCATTATACACATATTGACTGCAGCTCGTATAGCATATGCTCAATGTTGGAAGAGTGAAAACATTCCCACAAATGAGATGATTATGTGCAAAATCTTGGAATGCGCAGAAATGAATAAACTTACGTTAGAATTAAAAGACAAGGAGGCGACAGAATTTTATGAAATTTGGAATAAATGTTATAATTGGCTAGAACAGAGAAAGGAAAAGACATAATTATTGATGTACATAAAATGTAAATAAGATGTAAAGAAGGCTTAAAATGTATAGTACTGTTCTGTTAAAAGAAAAGATTTATGTTTATGTATTTTAAGTTTGTTTGGGGGTATGGTGTATGGTGAAAAATAATAAAAAAATCAAAAAAAGAAAAAAAGAAAACTACAACATTACATAACTTTTTGACATAATCGCCATTCAAATTGAGGCACTTGTCATAACATCTTACAAGTTTTGAAATTCCTTATAGTAGTCACTCGGCACCAAATCTGGGCTGGGGGGGGAATGATCAAAAACATCCCAACGGAACTGCTTCAAAAGTTCTTGGGTGTGTCTAATGGTGTGTGGGTGAGCATTATCATGAACCAACACCACACTGGAAGTGATAGAAAATCCCGCCAAATATGAAGATGCTGGTGAAGTTCATGGAGCATGGTTCGACCATCAATTCAGAAGTCTACTGTGAAACGATGAGCCATCCATAACAAGCATCGGGGCATGCGGCTGGAGAGCAACATTCCTGCTTTAAAAAATGGAAACATGACTTCACACTTTGATGGATTTTTAAAATTTCTTAATTTACTTCTCAGCATAACAGAGCTTGTAAAGTTCACTCAATCTGGATTTTTAGACAACCTTTCAAGACAATTATATTCCACCAGAGATCTTCAACTCTAATTAGATTGATTGCTATCCATCTAAAGAGAAAGTTGATTTATTGTGTATAAATACTGGCCTTGCTAATAATTGATTTATTGCCACTATTATTGTGGCACTTTACATGTTGTAAAATAGCCCTTCAAGTCTTTTGATTAGGAAAGGCTATTAAAATTGTAAAATAACTAAATGATGTTTTTTTTGAGCTCAGTCATGTCCAGTTTTCAAACATTGCCTCAGCAACTTCTTGCAGTTCTCCTGGCAAGGTTTTTCAGAAATAGTTGCTTCCTTCCTAGGACTTAAAAAAAGTGTCTGGCCTATGGTCACCCACTGGCTTTGAGCTTAAGATAGTGTTAAAACTCATGGGCTTCCACTTTCTAGCCTAATGCCTTATCCACTATACCAGGGATGTCAAACTGCCGGCCTGTGGGCTGGACGCATCATCCGGAAGCCACACCCACCCAATTGCCGGCAATGGCAAAACCATCCCGATACGTTGCGTGATGTCATGTGACGTCGCAAGTTTGACATGTCTGCACTACATGATAACTTTGACCATATAACTATAAATTGAAAAACTGGATTTTTATTATGATATATTATGGTTATTTGTTATAAGTTACTGTAATTACCTTATTACTTCAAAAAAGCTCACAAATTTCTAAAGAAAGAAACCATCCATCTACATTCTTAAATGAATTATAACAAAAAGAGATGAATTCTTAAATATTATGCAGCTGGAAATTTCTTGTCTCAGAAATCTACCTGATCCTATCTCAAAACATAAGAGATTATTTTTAATTATCTTTCATTTTAAGTTTAAATGACAGAATTTCTGGCTTGTTGCAGAAACGTGTTCCAAAAATGTACAGAACAAGAACACAAATGTTACTTGCAAACTCTTTTTATGCAAATGGAACAGAACAAATCCTTATTAATTATCTCATCAGTCACTGAAAGAATATATTATTTTCCCATGGCAATGGAAACTGCGGCTTCAATTTTTTCCCTTGTTCTGGAAAGGCAAATCGTTATTCTATGGGCTAAATGGCCCAACCAACAGCACATCACCATCTTTTGGTACAAATCAATGAAATATAATAATATATTAGTGTAAATATCCCATGTTATTTCCAATAATTGAGCATGTCTGCCACAGAAAGCGTTCTTAAAAAGAAAATGATAACAGTGAAAAAGTTGATAAGCTTACAAAGATTTGACTTTGTTATCACTGCCCGCTTTAGAGAGAAAAATAATTTGTAAGGGCATGGATTATGGTAAATCTTATTAAAATAATTTATGAATAGCTTCAAAAGTACTAATTGTCTCCCTAATTTTAGCTTTTCCTTTATTGTTAGACATGAAACCAGAAGAGAACTCTATTACGTCATAAAGAAAACATATATTTCTTATTCTGCAGAGCATAATGGAACACTATTCTCAACATGCATTGTTTTGATCCTTTTGCTGTATTTAAAAATAGCATCTTTAAAAACCCAAACCACCTTATGGCTAAACAGCTTGGTGTGCAGGTGGCTCATGTCTTCTCTGTAGCTGATTTGATACAGCAAAATCCTTATATGTTATGAGAATTGAAGCTCAAGCTGCCTAAATGAAGAGAGGGAGCTGAAGAACTCGGATTAGAGAGAGTTGCATTGCAGCAAGAGCAATCTTGTGGCACTTTAAAGCCTAATAAATGTATTATCACGCAAGCATTTGTGACTCATTAGATGCATGGAGTGACTTGGACTGCCCCAAAATATATGCAGTAATTTGTTAAATAGTGTAAAAGTGCCATGAAACATTTTGTGGTGTCTACCTTGTCCAGTGATGGCTAGTCCAAAGTAACTATGTGTAGCACTTCAACCTAATGAATCATATCTCAGGTATATCCAGTGCCAGTGATGACGAACCCATGACATGGAGCTAGGCAGTTCTTGTGAGAATGGAGTGTGCTCTTATGCAGCCACCAGACTCTCCAGAAGTCTCACAAGAGGGCCATGCTCTCATGAGCCACACAAAAACAAGGTGTGCTTTTGCACCGTTTGTGGAAGTATAAAGGCCACCGAAGAGAATTCTCTGAAGCCACTTCAAGAAAGAAGACCTCGTGTGACTTGGAGAAGCTTCAGGTAGGCTGCAGCAGCCTAGCAACAGAAAGAGAACACCGTCTGAAGGTAAGTGGCATGTGGCAGATCTTGGGATTACACACACAATTGGACTGTTATTTTTTTAAAAAATAAATAAATGAATATGTAAAGAATTGTTTCTTTTTTATTTGCCATACCAGTAGTCAAGTTAGGCATTTTCTGAATTTTTGACACACCGAGCCCAAAAGTTTCCTCATAACTGCCCTATATACGTTTCTATTATCTTCATGTTCTACATGTATACAATAAATGGTTTAAAATAACAGTGCTTCTGTTTACCACTTGGTGTCACCCAAAGTATCAGAAAAATACAATGAAGCCAGGAGCATAAGCCACACTAAAACCTGGTTTGATCATTCTGCTTGCTTTCTGAAACACAATGGTAAGGTAATAAGTCGTTGGTTCATGGTTGCATCCTTCACAGCAGTACATTTTTAGTTCTTGTAGCTGTTAAACCACAATTTCTACAGCTGAATGCTTAGTAAGAGTTTGCATCTTCCTGAGGTGAGTTATTCGTATTTTGATCCCATTGAATTTGGTAGTATTGTACTGGATTTGGAGTGGCTAGGAGTCTTTCTTTACAAAACATGTTATGTTTGGGCTCAGAAAAACAAGTTATTTTCCTTATTTTAACTGTCTCTCAGAACAGGCAGAAATCCAAGAATGTTTTAATGCTAGCTAAAAGCAGCAAGTAAAGTTCATGTACATCTCTTGTCAGAGCTGTTCAAGGACGTAATAAAAAATAAATATAAATTAACTGGCATTTCCATTAACTCCATTACTTATTGTATCTGTTAGGAATTAAACCCACTGCATAATAGAGATGGGTGTTCGTTTTTTGTTTTTGCTCAAATCATCCTTTAATACTAATTAAAGCTCTTCACTGTGGGAGAATATTATAACCAGTTTGTTCTCTTATTTAATCTTTTGTATTTCAGCAGTAAATATAACTTACTTTCATGCCAATTACAGCCAAAAGGTACGGCCACCTAAAACCCCTTTTTGTGTTATGTACATGTTATTGTTTAATTGGACCAGAAAGAAGATGAACCCTTCAGAACCCACAGCATAAAATATAATACAAAACAAAATGTATTCTCTTATTTTGATTTTACTAAAGAACTCCATTAGGATATTTTCTATGAAATTGCTCACCAAAGAGTTCCCCCCAGTCTGTAAACATCTCCGGGATGTTACCTTTATTAGATAACCATCTGGATATAAACATAATTTATGCTTACTTTATAGCATTCAGAGGTATGAGTGAAGGAGATACATGGATTTAAAACTTAGCCAAGACAGTATGATAACCATGCTGGATTAACCCTGAAGGAGACAATCCATGAAGCTTGATAGGTGACTTTGGGCTGGTCACCATCTTTTAGCTTAACCCATTTTCCAGATTTGTGAACCTAGAATAGAAGAACTATGTATGAACCTTACACTTCTGGTCTAGGCAAAATAAAATTGTATCATAGAACAATTATACTGCTTGTAGGAATGGGGTAGGAAGACTGAATTATTTTCAAGCCCAATTCCTTCCCAACAATCCCCTGAAATTTGTCTATGTCTAAGTCTATATCTGTGTCTCGGAATGCTTTTAAATGGAGAAACTGGCTGTAGACAGTATTGGTGCTTCCTCCATCTTCCAATATAATTGTTGTTTAGGGTGCAAAGCTAGGAACTCATCCAGAATTTGGTGGGCAATTATCATTGAACAATTGTACCCCCATTGATAGGAGGAGTTCAAAAAAGCACCCTGAAAGAGATTGTGGATCCCATGGAAAGAAAGTCTTTATGCTCTGCAAACATAATTCTGATAAATGGGGAAGGCTTAAACAGTCTTTGGGAGCACTCTGTCAGTGGAAGTTATGGGAGAGCAAACAAGGAGAGGAAGGGAAAAAAATGAATATATACATGAGTGAATATCTATGCTCCAGTTTAAATAATTCTATAGGTAAAATATCACCCGTTACAGTATAGATAAATAAGTATGAAGAGGATTTGTGAATCAAATTAAAATTGGATTTAACCCATGGATGAAGAACTTTTTATAACATCTTTTAAAATCTTAGCTCAGTTAAGCTTAATTTAGACAAAGAGAAGTAATGCATGAGCTGATTGAAGTCAGTACTAAAAATGTGTGTCTTGAGCAAGATATTTAGGGAAAAAAACAGGTTTAATGATGGCATTTCGAGCAGAAAGTGATGATTTATTGAAGACTGCTGCAGTTTAACTGAACACATATTTGCAGAGTCAGGTCCTGAGGGCTGTAATTTTTCTCTATTTGTTATAATCTGTACTTCCAGATACTTTTTCATACCAGTGAAGCACTCCATTCATGCCCTTTTAGAAAATAGTTAAGACTATTTTAGCACTTAGAAGATCTTTGGATGATTTGCAAATACCTACCTGATACTATCAATCCAAATATTCAAGTTTTTGATTGGAAAAACAAAACAGTCAGGGCATTAAAACAGTTTTGTTTTTGTTGAATCTGTTTTTCTTCTCTATGTAATTCATCCTGCATGAGCCTGGAGGGATTGCAAAACAAGTTGACAAAACCTAATAAAATTGCGTAAAGACAGAGCAAGATTCAGGTTAACTCATTATGACATTATGTGAATTGAAGACAAGTTACATGCTGTAGATAAATACTCGATTAACCACTGTTTCAAAATATAAGCATCTATAAAATGCCCAAATAAAATACAATCTCTAGATTCCTGGGAAATAAATTTCCTGCAGCAGTTCACAAATGAAATATCCTTCTCTCATAAGTACTCTATCCTCTGGTCAAAGGATGATGGTAGAATGAAATATGGAGGAGATGAACAATGATTTCTTAATTTTGAAAGAAACTTGACACTTAGTGGACCAAACATATTTTGAATCCTTCCTCAGTAGCCTCAAATCTTAAAACATCACCAAAATCACAATTAATATATTGATGCTCTCAAGGTTAAGGCCTACTCGACGTCAAGTTTCCTTTGAAATTCTTCAGAACCATATGGATTCTTCAGGAATTGTTCTGCAGTTTATAATTTGCTTTATGTTGAAATGTACTGCAATATGCCCTGGGATTAGGAAATGGTTTCATGTTTTAATCTGGACTCATGGGTCAAACTATAATCCTCCTAAAGTACCATGAGATAGAATCAATCTCCTGGGTTCTGGCTGTTTTTAAAATCTAAACTGCAAATTTTTGAAGGAACGGCCACCACCTCTTCATTGTGATGTGGACCACAAAACATTATATAGGGTAGGACTTTAGCTCAGGGATACAGCACTTCTGGGCAATTTCAGTTTCAGCCCATGTCTTCAGACATAGAAGAAAAGAAGCACCTTAGACTAGCACTGCCTGAATATTCTTTCAGGCTAAAACTTTGCAAGAATACTGAGTGCATTTGCTTTTTTCAGTCATTTGGGAGCATCATGTAACTGATGATAAAAAAAGTAAAAAACAAAAACAATTTTAAAAGCATACTGGGGCATGTCTCCCCACTTTAAAACCTTCAGACAGAGGTGTGCAGCCTGAGTCCTCAATTATTTGCCCTCAAAACATTACCTGTCTGAAAAAAAATTATTACAGGTTGCATTTTTATATGATCAAAGAGTATTAAATATACAAACGGAGAGGGTTCTGCCACTATATTTTGGAATGTGGCCTTGATTTTGAAGCCAGAAATGCACAGTTTTTGCCATAAGTCAAACTGGAATCAGGAGTAAATAAAAGAATCTATATTTCAATCGGAAGAGGTGGTTATGTGTGAGCAAATGTTTGCACGTAAAATTAAAGTTATTAAGGTCAGTTCTGTCCAAGACTACTTAACACCACAGATGAAAGTTTGCTTGAAAGTAATACGTTTCAGGCAAACACACCATTCTTATATAAAAGCAGAAAACTAACCTTCTGCTATATTGTGTCTCCCAGAAGTGTTCAACAGCAACATCGATGATTCCAAGCCAAAATGGCCAAAGAAATCAACCATCAGAAGATCATTTGACTGAGAAACTTGCAGTATAGAAAATATCCATCATCAGGAAGTGTTTTGACAAAAGATGAACACATCTGGTTATTCTCACTTTCACATATTAGGTTGCATCAACATTTTGGAATACGTTCAAACTATAGTGAATAGAATTTTTTTCCCCCTAATCCGAGATAATGTGGAAGAAGGATTAGTTTTACAGTCAGCAAGACTGGTATTACAGATCCACTTAACCCTATGGTTTAGAACTTCTTGCACATGGCATTAATTGGTGAGAATTAAACTTGTCATATTAAATGTTATGCTTTAGAAACCAAACTTATGGTAAAATAAAGAATACTGCTGAGATGTGAGCACCTCTGATGGAAAATAGATATGAACTTTGGCTTTGTGTCAGTGTGTCTGGCATCTGAAAATGTTTAAGAGAATCAGATTGTGAAGTGCTGTCACTTTAGGTTAGAGTCGGTGATGAACAGCAAATCAGCCGAGCATTTCAAGATAAATGATGTCACTGAAACCAACAGGCAAAAGCAATACATATATCTTCTTCTCCCTCGGTTTTTTTTAAATTCCTAAGTAAAAGATGTAGAATATGTCTGTCAGCATATCTGAGACTAATTGGCACAGTTTTTTCTCTATGGATAAAGACTGAAGATATCTCTCAAGCTGGTGCTTGGGTCAAAGTCCTCGCTGACAAGAACATCCTTCAGTAGCAGATGTCTTCAATGTTGTGTTCTTTTCTTATTAAGCACTAATATCTAATATTGTCACATTTATCAAAGTTTTTAGATTTTAACAATGGCTTATGCTGGAAATAGTCCCTTATATTGCACTGTATTGCAGAGAAATGCAGAGACTCACAGTACTGTTGAAAAATATCTTATAGTTCTGTGTTGTAATTTTCCTGGAATGCCATTAACATAACTGGATGGTTATCGTCTTTGGCAGGATCCTACTATATTCATTGGAGTGATAAAAGAAAGCTCTGCCTTTTTTGGCACTTGTGAGGTGCCCTAACACAGAGTAAAAAGAGGTGGGGATTGTGATGTTACAATACCACTTTTGTCAATCCCACTTGTCCATATCCAGGAATACTGATCTTTGTATGTAGATATGAATGTATAAAAAAAAGACCATGGTGGGAGTTGCATAAATCAGATGTCTTCATGCAAGTATTTGAATTGCTTCTCTAATCTTTTAATATGTGTGTGTGTGTGTGTGTGTGTGTGTGTGTGTGTGTGTGTTTGTAGGCATTAATAAAATTGATAAACCACCTCAATCCTGAGGGCAGTAGTACATGTAGAGGAGACAAACTGACATGGCCATTCTACAAGAAAACCAGTCCTGCTCCAGAATAGATGGGCTTTAAACAACTAAGTCATGTATGCATATTTCAGTAAGTTATCAAAGCAAGAATGCATTTGTTGGAAATTATTCTGAGGTAATTTCTACTCTGCTCTGTGATTCCAAGTCAGCATTCTTCATCTGAATGACAAGAAGCTTGGGAGCATCAACTGTCTACACTAAATGGAACAATCCCTGTGATAATAAGGCACATTACCCTCTACTTGCCTCTCATTCACATTTAGCAAAGTAAGCCTACAAGAGAAACACATAGAGTTATATATATGTATCACATCAACATGTTCATATCATAAAGAGAGATGGAAAACACTATCCCTTCTGTCTCCATCTCCAGGGAAGATCTGCAAGGAAGCTGTAATTACATTCAGCTGGAAACTGTTGATTTTCTGCAAATATTTTGTATCAGTGTAGGGGTTTCAAGATGGAGAGGATGGCCTGAAAAATGCTTACTCCTTGATTTTTTATTTTTACACTCTTAAATGCAGATATGAATAGTCTGCTGGACAGAGGTAAGGAAAAATTAGAAGCCAATGCAGAAAAGCTAGCAAGGCTTCAGAAGGCCCAAATGTTTTCAATGTGAATAAAGAATGGATTGGATTTTTTTTTAAAGTTCTATTTTTAAAATATCTTAATTTGTATGGTATGTATTAAGTCTGAATCAGTTTGTTTTGAAATCATCGCTTTAACTTAGCAACAATGATGCGGCTTCAGTTATAATTAATTGAAATTATTTCACAGCTGAAACAAGTGTGATAGCAATTTTGAGTCTTTAGCACAGAGGAAGATATGTGCTGTTTAGTGTTAGCATAACAAAACTAACTGTAAGGCATGTTAAAAAGATATTGGCATGGGGATCAGAACCATCCAAGGAGAATGTTAATTTAAAAAATGGGGAAATTTTTTTTTCCTGAAAATCTGCTGATCACAGTAATTTACAGACTTACAACTTGCTTAATAAAAAGAAATCCCTAAAGTCCCTAAACCTATTATTGCAAGAAACAATAAAGACATCTGAACAAATCCTTTCCTCTGAATTGTTTCATTTGAGCTGGTGAATCGCTAAGCTATGAGATTGCTTTGTTTGGATTTAGTATAATGTATGGGCTGAACCACAGTGATTTTTTAAATTATGTTTCTTAGTCTTAGCATCATTCATGAACCAGATGGCTTGCTCAGTCATCATGGTTGCAACAAACTGTATCCTGCCATAATATGTGAAACCACTATGATATTGATGGAATCAAGTTTGAGGCTGTTTTACATGACACACTTCTCCATTGTTAATTAAGCAATGATATATTCAACTAGTGTGTCTGTGTGTATGTATGTTCACATAAGACCCTGAATCATAAAGGAACTACACAAGTCTAAAATGTGCTTGATTTGTTTTGGCTCAGAGTGCTGTGAGAATAGCCACAATCCTGGATTATTTCTCTTGAGTCTTTATAAAATTTACTACAAGGTAAGGTTCTCATCGTCTCATCTTTCCTTTGAATGACTCCAGATGCCATACATAATACTTCACCTCCTGTTTTATCCACAAAAAGCCTATGAGATGGGTTGGGTTAAGAGAGAAAAATTGGCCCTAAATCACCCAACTGGCTTTCATGCTTAAGGGAGGATAAAACTCATTGTCTGCCAGTTTCTAGTCTAGCATTTTAATCACTTTTTATTTTAATTTACTAGATATTTGAAAGCATAGGTTTTCTAAATACAGGTAGTCCTTGACTTACAACAGTTCATTTAGTAACTGTTTGAACTTACAACGGCACTGAAAAAAGTGATTTAGGATCAGTGTACACTGATCGGGGCACAAAGGGCAGGTATACACAGGGGTTGTTGTCTGCATGTCATCACAATCGCAAATAGCAGAAGCAACCAGGTACCCCCATTTGTTCAGAGTGTCTCTGGATCTGGTTGTACCGCAGTCTATTCAATGATTTCCATACTTCCCAGCTTTTGACAGACCCAGGTGGATGGAACTCTGTTGGTTCCATCCAGGATTAGTTCTTTGTAGCTTTCCATAGATCCACTCTGCTTTCAAATTCTTCAAAGTCTTCTGTTGACCTAAGGAAGCTTTCCCTGGATTTTAGCCTCTGCTGAGCTGATTGTAGGCCATAGAGAGAGTGTTATCTAGATATTGATGATTTGAGTCTCTCTCTCTCTCTCTCTCTCTCTCTCTCTCTCTCTCTCTCTCTCTCTCTCTCTCTCTCTCTCTGCTTTTCTGCAAACAACAGGTGGGGCAACACTGGCTAGGTGGTAGATATTATCTAGAGGGGTAGATTTAAGGCAGGGGTCCTCAAACTTGGCCACTTTAAGACTTGTGGATTTCAACTCCCAGAATTCCCCAGCCAGCCATGCTGGCTGGGGAATTCTGGGAGGTGAAGTCCAAAAATCTTAAAGTGGCCAAGTTTGAGGACCCCTGATTTAAGGCATCCGGCATCTCATTATACCAATCCTGTACAATGAGATGCAGTAGAAATGTGAGATGACCATATAAGATCTACAGTATTATCAGAGCTTAATTTACTTCTATCTAATTTTATACTGAGTAGACGTAATTTTCTGATCATACAACAAAATGTTTCTCTCTTCTTGTCCCTCAGCAGCATCTCTGCCAAAGACTATTCTGCAAATTCTTCCAACATTTTCAGCAGTTTTAAGAGAGGCGGGTTCAGAGATTGTAAGTGAAATCCTCCTCTCCTTTACTGGTAGAGATTCAGTGGATTTCATAGAGATCCAGTTTGGTCTAATGATTAGGATTTGAACTCAGCAGGAGACTGTGAGTTCAAGTCCTGCCTTAGCCATGAGAGTCAACTGGGTGGTCTTGGGTGAGTTACACTCTCTCTCAGCCCAACTGACCTCATAGGGGTGTTGTTGTTGAGAAAATAGGAGGAGAAATATGTGTTGGATGTATTAGTCGCCTTGAGCTACTGGTAAAAATAATAAAGGTGGGATATAAATGAATTGTTAATATTTCCATTAAATGATGCCAGTAATGCTTTACTATTAAATCACATTTTTCCTATCCATGCTTTTGCAGTTCATTTTTGTTGTTTTTACACACCTTTTTTGGATGGAATCTTGTAGGGTAGGCAAGGCGGGTTGTATGATGTTTGTGAGTTCCGGCACTTTTTTTTTTTTTTTTTTTAGAAAAAAACCAACACTTTGAAGCTAGCAATTCCCATCTCTGAAATGTGCATATAAAAATCTTGAAATAATGCAATATGCTTTAAGTGATCATAAAAATTACCATCTTCTTTGAAACGCAGATCCTGAAGACAATTCCCACCTCCAGTGATTAGACAGAAAAATTGTATCTACCATATTCCAGAGGATTTATAGCAATCCTTCCATTTTAAAGGTAAACTGTTGAGGAGAAATCAAAGGTCCCTTTCAGGGAATTAATACTAATAAACAGGGCTTTTTTTTCTCATAGAACGCCCAGAACGGAGTTCCGGCACCTTTTTGGGATGGACCCTTGTAGAGTAGGCAAGGCGGGTTGTATGACGTGTGTGAGTTCCCGCACTTTTTTTTTTTTTTAGAAAAAAAACACTGCTAATAAATAATTACTAGCAAAATGGAGGATGGAAACTTGTTGGTTAACTGACGAGCTCTTGAATAAAGATTATAACCTATATACAAATGGGATGCATTACATACCTATAAAAGCTTTAATGCCTTCTC